TTTCCGATTTTCGTCAAACATTTTCCGATTTTCGTCAAACATTTTCCGATTTTCGTCAAACATTTTCCCATTTTGGTCAGACAATTTCCCATTTTGGTCAAGCACTTTCCTATCAACCTTTACATATTGCCAAAATCTCGATGCGTCATGCTTGAGCGAGGATTTCATTTTGTCCACGTAATCGTTGTATAGTTCCGTGTTGAGTTTGTCAAACTCTCGAGACGCCAAAATATATTTCCATTCCTAGTACGGTTTAAAGCCAGACCGTCTGTAGCGTTTCCATGCCTTATTCTTCCTATTTTTTAATGTTATTAGGAATTTGTTTTTCCACGGACATTTTTGTATCGACTTGGCGATGTAAGTAGGCACAAATTTGATAATTGCATCGTCCAAAGTCTTGTGCAGCAAGTTCACTTTCTCAGTGATTGTCTTTCCGTGGAATAATTCGGTGAAATTTATATTTGCTAAGTATGCATTCATGTCCCTGTAGTTGGCCCACTTGAAGTTGAATGCTTCAGTTGTAATGTTAGATTCAGTCGTGTTTGTACCATGCCATTCAAACGTAGCCATTATCGGTGGATGGTGATCTTCCACTTTTTTCTTCAATGCGTTAGATTCATCGCCGTGCTCAATCGAAACATTAGTGAAATCATTAGTGAAGAACAAATCCAAAAGACGTTTCTTTGACTGATTACGCACATGATTTACCTGTTGAACGCCCAAGCTCATGAGTCCCTGGATAAAAGTGGCCGTGTACTCAGGTGCAAATTTAGTTGGAATCATGACGTTGTTGTCGTCGCTATCAGTCGACCATTCCACATGCGGCAGATTAAAATCACCAACAAAAATAAGAACATCTTCTGGATCAGATGCTATTTGATGCATGGCCGCCAAGTGTGAGTCGTAGATTGATTGTGGTGAACTGGGTGGAATGTAAGCACAATATATGTAAATGACGTGAGATTTAGTAGTGGCCTTCACACAAACGTATTCCAGATCGTCAGCACCAGCAATTTTAATTTGTTCAGTGGAAAATCTGTCGTTTTTGGTTGCAATTAGTACACCCGTTGAAAAAGTCTGTCCCTACGATAAACAGAATATGAATCGTCAAAAAATTCAGCGTCATTAATATCATTTTTGAGCCATGTCTCAGTTAAAATTATCATATCGTAATCATTAGAAGTGGCGGCGCAGTAGAATCGGTATTCTTCAGGACAAATACTGTGACAGTTCTGGTAGTAGATTTTAGTGAGAAAAACGCAGTCATCCGATATGGCATACTTTAGTGCCATCTGTTGCGATAGCCTTGATGATTTTCTGCGCAGCGTTCGTTGTAGCAGTATCGATGGCAGTTCGGCTTCACTTGCGAGCAACAGCTCTTCTGGCAACGATTTGTACGTGATTGCCAGCGTTTCTGTTGAGGCTGATGCTTCTTGGGTTGGTTCCTCATCTGCTGAGCATTCACTTTGCCAGCCTCGTTTTTTGGTTTAGACCGAACATTTTGCGTGATTTGCCGATTTGGTTGAGATTTAACCAGCGCAGGTGTTATTTTTTGCTGGTTGGTGGAAACGCTCTTCTGGACAGGTCGCAGCATAATTTTTCAAGTGTTGAAAAATAATTTCCGGACTGGCATCCACTTTGAACGGTGACAGATGAAATGATTTAGTGGCACTGGCTTTCGGTGGTACACGGTGATCTGAGTTTGTGCCAACAACAAAATCACTAAGGATGAATTCACCGGTTTGCAAACTTGTTACGCAGAAAGAATTTTCCACCGACTCGGTTCTGGCCCGCTTACGTGTGTTGACATTCGATGAATGGTGAATGGGCGGTAATTGCAAACCGTTCGGGGCAGACTGACCATTGTTATTATGTGTTGCAGTTGACAATATCCGTATCCATATCCACTACAACTTTCTGTTGATCGTCAGTTGGAATTGATGCGGGTGACATAGTGGTTGAATCCAAATTTAGTCCATCCAACATTTTCATGATCGGAACGAGCTTTGTTTTGATGTCAGCGAGTTGTTTTTTCAGTTCAATGCATTCTGTACATGTCATGATGATAAGTTATGGCAGCTTCGTACAACGAGATAAAATTTGGTACAGAAAAAAAAAACAGCAAAAAAACTGATTTGACACCAAACTTGATATACTATTGGTAAAACAGGTCTTAACGAACAGAATAATATATAACTCAATAATTTTAGACGATCAAATATAATATAAAATTAAATAAAACTGAAGACCAAATGAGTATTGAGAAAAATTTAACATTTTACGGAGACAGCTGTCAATCCTAAATTTAGATTATATGTTTAGATAAATGTTTAAAAGATTTCCTCGCATGTATTTTCAGTTTCAAAAGGATGGTACAACATGTTAAGGCGACAACTTATGACGCATCGCAATATTTTGGCAGTCGCATCAAACCAAGCGGCTGGTATGAATGGTTTAAATTATATTAAATATTAATCAACATTGAAAAACATTTTAAAAAAATGCATATTAAATTTCTAAATCCCACCCTAGCAATACATGATGGTGATCTTTTGCGCAAAATATCAAAAGAATTTCGGTGCAACTGCCAAATTGAAAGGCGGATTGGACGCGATTCGATTAAACGTTATCCACCAGCTGGAAATTAAAAGTTGAATTTATTCCACCATCATAACCATTCCATACATTCCATGTAATTTTTTTTTTTTTTTTTGAATAAATAATGTTCGATTTAGATTTTCGGAATATAAAAAAATCATTAGCAAATCATTTATTTATTTATTTATTTATTTGTTTTCCAACGGACAATTTTGTATCTATTTTTTATTTATTTATTTATTTCACACCGCCAAAAACTGGCTGAATATTTTGGTTTGCAGGAAAACAACTCCAAGAGTCGTGAAAAACCTGATCTTTTTGTGTTTGTACAATATATGGTAATTTTATACAATATAAAGTTGTAATAGTCTTTCTCGATTGGTATAACAATTTGGTCTAAAAAGCATTGACACAAGATAACCTAATCAATACATGGAAATGCATAGGTAGCCGAAATGTAAACGGTCCAATATTGCCTAACTTAAACGTGTAAAAAATGAAAGACCAACTGAAGCGTTAACACTGTAGTGACGGCCCTAATGACTGCAAAAGTCATCATTCAATTTATCCAGATGTGATACATTGAAGAAAAGTTTTACGTCTAATCTAACAAGTCCCTGTTGGTAGTTATGAATTTGTAATTTAGTAGAGACCGAAAGACATAAGAACAAATTTACAATACTTGCAAATACATTAACATAAACGGTAGTTTCCATTATAAATTATAAATTAATGGCAGGTCAAAAGTTGATCACCAACTCAATGGATGGCTATATCACAGTTAATATTGCTACTTATTTTAAAGTTTGTGTAAAAATCACGGATAAATATCATTATTTCTATACATTTTGTAGGGATGTAAGATAACAATTCTGTAGAAAAGTGCTGGGAATAAATCAAATAATTAAATATAAAACACTTGAATTTCCTTATTAAATTATATTGTTTAATTCTGAATATCAAAGTTGAGTTCGTTGTTTACAGTTCGTTGTTCCTAATTTACATTAAGACTCTGTTTTGTTCAACACTCCTCCTCGTTCACACAAAATTACATTTAGCTCTTAAATATTCATGTTTTACAAATGACAAAGGTTTAGTTAATAAATCCGCGATCATCTCTTCTGTAGGACAATATAAACAATCAATTAAATTACTTTTTACTAAATCTCTAATCATTTTGTACTTACCAGTAAACATCCCATACTGTTACACGCCGATTTTCAAATGCCCATGCGCGTTCGAAAGGGCATCCCTCAAAACCCCCAAAAACAAAATATTACGATCCCATATTCATATTTGGGGTAGTTATGGGGGTATGTTTATTTTGGGGCTGAAAATCGTGGTTTTTACATGTCAATGCACTTTTTTCATACTAGAAATGGTTTGGAGACAGTAGTTTGTTGATATGAAATGTTCATTATACTCTAGAGAATCAAATGACACTTTGGGTGGACCTGCTCCCATCCCTGTGACGCGGGATAGGGTCAAAAAGTGCAAAAATAGCGAAAAATGACCAACATATCCCCAAAATATGGTCCAAACCCCTCTTTTACCCCCAAAATACTTGCATTTTTGGGTTCCTCGTAAAAAATTAGCCCTAGGCCATGAACACTTTTTTCCCGAAAAACACTCCCTTCTGCCTTGAATTCGCCTTTGAAAGTTAAAAAAAACTCATCCCCAACACTTTCGACGCATTTTTCACCCCTTGAGTTTTAAGGGGCAAATAGGTTATATCCCACGAAAGTTGCGCCTGGTCCCATAGATTTCATTGGCACATAGTGTTGGCCCCCCATGTTGCCCCAGTTCGAAGGGCAGGGTTCAAAAAGTGAAAAAAGTACAAAAACTACCCCAAAGTGGGTAAACCCCACTCCGCATCCCCAAAATAATTGCATTTTTGAATTCTTCGTCGAAAATTAGTTATACCTCCCGAACATCAGTTTTTGATAAAACCCCTCACTGTGGCCCAAATTCATCTCTGAATGTACAGTGGGACAATTGATATTTTTCTATACATTTATACGGATTTCTTGTGTTTTTTCGGTCTTTCTCCCATAACTCGTACCCCATATGCGTTGGTGCAAAATTTTGTTCATCAAAATTGTAGATCTCATTGAAACCTACAATTCTGCTGCAGACAGTTATCACTTATCTTTTATCAGTAAGGAGATAATGGCCTTGATAGCTCTTATCAATTATCACTGTTATCTCCTTACTGATAAAAGATAAGTAAACGGTAAACCCGAGTTTGACACGTTGTCCGGTATTTGTTGCTGAGCTTGAGTTGGTGCTGGTGTTTCATCCATGGGCTCAGTACGTGAGTTTGCCGATTTATCGGCTTTGTCCCGACACTATGTTTACTCCCATGCTCGCATTGCCAACGCCAACTGGTCCTAGCAAGTGAACTATGATGACATATAACAAACACTGTATGTCAGATTCGAAAGTTATATCCGTTGAATATTCTTCTTGAACCGATCGCAACCGATGTGATGTAAGTTAGAGTAAGGAAAAGAATACACATCGATACACATTAACCAAACAACATTCAAATCGATTCAAATAAATAGCATCTTTTTCACCACAATAATTAGACTAACAAATTTGAGCATTGAGTAAAATCGTGTGTAATGTGTATTTATCACACATTTGTCGAGCAAAAATATCGAGTATTCAACAAGTAACACGCTTGTTTGGCTACCACACAACACAAACAATGAAACCTTCTGTGTGCAAATGCTTGTTCGCCAAAATATCCCGAAATATCCAAACCGAATATATTTCATCGGCTGATCAATTGTGAGTTTAAGTCGATCGTTGCAAAATCGTGCAAAATATAAACAAACATTTCAT